ACTTCTCTACCACTTTCTTTCTCTCTCTCTCTCTCTCTCTCTCTTTTAATCCCTTCCCCCACGTGCTCACCCCGTTCCCACTGCTGCCAAACCTCAATTGTATTACTGAAGTCTAGCATAAAACCCCATTGGTTACCCCTTTTCTCTCTAACACACCTCACATTTTACATTTACACCACTGTGACACATTTTTTACCTAAAGTTGTTGGTTATTTAACACATTTTACCTATACTGTTAGTTGGTTATATGCTGCTGTGACACACTCTTTACATAGAAATTGTTAGCTACCTGTTACATTTATACTTCAGTGTTAATTGGTTACCAACTGTATTGTACCCCACTGTATTGTACCCCACTATTGAAACCCCTATCCTGTTTACTAAAAGAAACCCCTCCCCAATTGTCTACCTTAACAAACCCCATACCCCTCACTATTAAATTTTCCCTGTTTTTGCATTTTCTTAATAAAGTTTATTTTGCACCCCACCAGTGCAGTAGTTGTCCCCCAAGGTCCCCCACCTGCTGGCAGGGACAATACCTATCTCATAGAACTGGAAGGGACCCTGAAAGGTCATGGAGTCCAGCCCCCTGCCTTCACTAGCAGGACCAAGTACTGATTTTTGCCCCAGATCCCTAAATGGCCCCCTCAAGGATTAAACTCACAACCCTGGGTTTAGCAGGCCAATGCTCAAACCACTGAGCTATCCCTCCTGTTCAGTATAAGTGGCCCTGATTCTCTACTTCTCTGTCTAAGCTACACTCAGATGCATTGCAGAAGGGTGGCTGCCAGGAGCTGGTTGTTAAAGCAGAGTTATGAGCTGTGTTTAAAACTGTTTTCTAGGGAAGTTAAATGTAGTGCAATGGGCAGAACCTGAAGACCTTTTGCTGGCCCGTATTTCATTGACCATAATGGAAATTTTGAATGAATAACAAGTTCAGTGTTTAACCTGTGAAAGGTATGCTTCTAGAAAAAAAGAGTGTGGAGGTATTAATTTTTTTCCTTCAAAGAATACACTTGGTTTATAATATATCTTTTATTTTGTAACTTAGTAAGTGAATTTGGTGTTTGTTAGAAGACTGAATTTGTCATAAACGGAAATCCTCTAGAACAGAACTGGTACAGCATAAGTTACAAGTTGGAAAGAGTTCCCCACATTCCAGCACCAATGTGCCTAAACCATATTCTGAAGACGTTGTAGTGATAGGAAGATAGTTCATTCTCCATGCTCATTTAGGCCCCGATCCTGAAAAAACTCATGCACATGTGAGTAGTCACTTTGAAGTCAATGGCACTATGCACATAGCTCACCATATGCATGAGTGTTAGAGGATCAGGGACTTAATCTTTATGCTAAAAGTGTCAAGACTTTTTTGAAGGTCACTTTTAATTTATTATGAAAAAGCACGCATTTTTTTCATTGCAGATAGTTCTCTCCAGGAAATATACTGCCATTCTCATACTGATGTGTAGGATAGAGGTGTGAGCAACATTGTCCAAAGATGCAGAACAAATACAGAGCATAGTCACATTATGATACCTACTATAGCTCCCAGATATTTAAAAACATGGCAAAATCGTGAAGTTCTTTCACAGGCCAAACTCCTATTAAGTCAAGGGAGTTTTGCCTGGGTAAGGACTTAGTAAAAATTGAACAAGGTCTTCAGGATATGGGCCCATATTTATAACATTTAGTCCAAAACATACACTGCTGTTTAAAGTACGGTACCTGAAAGTACGTAGCAACTAAAATTGTTTACACGTTTCAGAATCTGACTAATGTGAAGACCACTTTTATAAATGCTTTGATATGTCTGGCTCTCAAAACCATCATAAGGTACCAGATTTCCCCCTCCCACAGAAAAACCACAGGAAGGGACTACATAGGAGGAGAATGCTTCAAGGTTCATGGGAGAGCTTCCCCAGAATATTCTATTTTGGGGGGAAGGTTTGATAACCACTCACCACCTCAGAACAAGTAGTTGGGTTGGTCCCTTAAGTCTGTAGCTCCTCTGAGGTCTGCTAGAAACCAGGATCATCCACAAGGAGGCCCTGTACCTCTGGACCAGCTCAAGGGCCTTTCATCACCTCTAACTGTGTGGCACTCTAACTCCAGTAGAGCCATGCTGCCATTATTTTGGAAAAGTCTTATAGAATTTAATAGGTGTAGCACAGAATCTGGCTCTATGTAATCCTGGCAGCACATGATTAGCAAAAACATTTTCATTGCAAGGTTTTCTTTTCTTCCATTGACTGTGCAGTTCCAAAAGGGCTGTTGCTTTTATTGGTAACTTATATTGAAAATTATTATTCAGTTTTATCCAGTATACACCCGAAGCTTCACTCATTTCAGAGTATCAGAGCAAACATTTAGCTGAAATATTTCATAATGGTGATTACCAAATCAGACAGAAAACACAAAATCCCATGTGACCATAGACCACAGCTAATCTAGACTGAAACATTCCAATATTGAACACCTAATATAGTTATTTTACATATAATCAAACTACGTAATTTATGGTAAATGAATTACTAAACTGTAAGAAGCAAATTTATCTATAAACACATATATATTGGAAGAAAAACATTGATCAGCTATCACAGTAAGTGTTTATAGTGCTCAAAAACATCACTAAATAATATTGTTAGACAGACAACATTTATATCTAAATCCCTTATTTTCACTAGTTTAGAATCATTGGGGGAAAAATATAGCTATGGGAAAAATAAGCCTGGAAAGTCTGTGTGAAGTGACTTTAACCATATTAAACAATAAATAATTTAATTAAATAAATCCACATCAATGTTTAGTTATTTCTAAAATTGTAAGAAGGCAAAACAGGAAAATTCACCAATTTTTTTTACTCTTTGTTTATGTAAAATGTTTTTGAATTTTATAGTGAAACTATGGCTAGTAAAAGAATGAATTAATTGCTTTGTTTCTGAAAAATAAAAAAAGTGAAAAGAGATGAGATTTTGTCATTAAAGTGACTGCTGCTCTTTTTATATAGTAGTTTACCTTGCAAATGCCTACTCTGGTCATATACATTCACAGCATATCAGCTCTGATGGAGGCATGATATCTGTTCTTTGTTTATAAATCCTACTTCACAAATGCCTCTTCCTTCCTTGACAAAGAATGCAGATGCAAAAGCAGATTACAATTTTTTTCCCTGCGACACATGGTTCTTAGGAGCAGCCACTGAGATATCTTGGTGAATCTGCCAATTGTACTAGAATGATGTTGCTCCTTCTGATTTGCCTGATCCTTATCATTCTGCATTCCATTATCCTTTAAGTAGAAAGCCAATCTGAATATCAAACATTTAAAACAGCCCCCTCTACCATGTGGCACTAGCCAGTTAAGTAAGGGTCTGGCCCCCAGAGCTTGTTTTCCAGTTTCCTGGACCAATAGCTATTGGAGGAGACAAATTGGCCAAGGATTGCCTTTAGTTCTAGGCCCTCAAATCACAGTGTGATATTCAACCAGTCTGAGTTAGGGTCACAGTTTTATTTATTTATCTGGAGTTATAAAACAACAAAAGGCACCTATTTTATACTCTGACAGCTATTTAAAAATGACAGAAAGATCATTATAATCAATATGAAAAGAAAACATATAGCACTATAATATAATAACCAAATAACCGCCTTTCCTTCTATATCAGTCTTCCAGCAGTATTCCCTTCCCTCTTCCAAAAACGGGCCTTGTGGCATACCTTAAAGGTCAGCAGATTAAGGTGATGGGGTGTGTGGGAATGGGCGAGAGGCATTCAAAAGAAAACATCCTGCTAGCAGCCCTCTCTCTTTTATATCAACAGGTGTTCAGATCCAGCACCTACACAGATCTCAGCTGCAGCAGCATAGCATAGCATGTGTTTTGGTGGGAAGGAGAAGGTAGTCTCTCATATGCTCCATTTCGTAGTAAAATGGTTGGGGAGGGAAGGTTCAAGGTACTTGATGCTTAAGGGTAATTCAGCTTGCCAAAACTCCAGTGAAGTCTCCAGCCCTGAAGATGGAAAAGTGGCTCCTCTTCTTACCCTTGGTTAGAGTATGTCTAGATGACAAAAAGATGTTTTAAAACCTTGTTTACCTGGTTTAAAATGCCTCTTAGCACCTTGTGTATATACATTTTTAATGCTTTGAACATCATGGTAGCTGGCTTTGTTATAGCCTCTCCTACAAGTCCCTAACACGACTAGTGAGCACATGAATGTAAAGCTGTGACTACACTGAGGTCTCAAATCATACTAACTAACACTAGCTATTCTAGGCATGGCCACATTGTTCTGTGCTCACCTGTTCTCTCACCCAGAAAATCCTTCAGTCCAATGACTGCATAGAGAAACGCTACTGAAAGCTCATAAACTTGTCTCTTTCACCAAAAGACTTTGGTCCAATAAAAGATATCTCACACACCTTGTCTCTCCAATGACTGCATGGAGTCCATTGTTCTCTATGCTAAGCACAGGCTAGTTCAGGTGGGTGTGTGCATTTAGCTGTCCTTTTGTCCTGCTGTTCTACAACACAAAGGAACTCATTAGACAGGTTGAATTAATCATTTTCTCCAAGTCTCCATCTGGACAAAAGAGAGTATTTAATGCACACCATACCCTTAACACATGTCTGGTAGGTAGCTGTAGCCATCCCTCCCATGCTCCTTTGGGCAAGACTCTCTCTGTTTAACTACCTAGGGAGAGTTTCATATCAATAATTCACTCCATGCATTTCATTCCCACCTTTGTCACAGTAACGACCATGGATGAGGTTTCCTTTTACAGCATAAAAATTGAAATAAACCAGTCAGCATTTTAAAAAAATTCCTAGCTAAAATTGGCAACATACACTTTTAAATATTTCCCTTTTAAAATTATGTTCAGTGCATTCTAATTCTCACTTTAATTCTCTAATTTAGTTTGACTTTTTTGTAAGTTTCTTTAAGAATTAGTGGAAAAGTCTCTTGATCTGGTAAATGTTTTTGCTCATGATTGTAACTGGGGAATGTCTCTCTTTTCTGAGTGCTGAGCAGAGAAGAAGCCTAATTCTCCACTGCCTGACATCTTGTGCAAAGTGGGTATAAAATGCCACTGTTCTGATCTGGTTGTATTTTATAGCCACTTGTCACAGGTATAAGTGACTTCACAATTTACAAGGCGGTGAGGAATCAGGCCTTAAACCACAATACATATCAATCTTGCTTAGGTACATTGATAAAAGTATATTAAATAATGAAAGATATAGAGAAGTTAAATGGGGAGCTTCTGTTTTCCGTGTCTCATAATACAAGAGCATGACACATAACAAGCACATTCAAGGTGAGAAATTCTAAAATGATAAAAGAAAAAACTTTTCCAACCATGTCATTTGTATGAGGAATTAATTGCCACTGGAAATCAGTATGACCAATAACTTACCAAGATTCAAAATGGAATTGGACATGTATATGAATAATAAGAGTACCCAGAGTTATAATAATCAATGTTAACACAAATTTTGGAAGGGAGATTAAATCTCATGCTTCAGGGTTTAAAACAATCTCTTGACTATTAAATATTTGGATGAGACCTAGCGTGGGGAGCAGATTATCCTTATGCACTGTTCTCTGCAACATCTGGTGCTGGCCACTGTTGGAGACAGGATATTGGTCTAGGTGGACGATGGGTTTGATCCAGTCTGGCAATTCCTATTTAGGTACCTTTCATTAAAAAGAAGTTAATGACCAGACTTTGATTAAATTAATGATGGGTAAATTTAGATCAAGTTAAAGGAGGAAATATCAGTTCACACAGCATGTTAATTGGCATGTGGAACTCATTGCTGTAGGTGATTGAGGCAAATACTGTAGCTAGCATTTATTAAAAGCTAGATAACTTCATGACTAATAAAACCTTTATAGAGGTGCATGCTAAAATAAGGGTAATCAAATCATATACTGATCTAGGCAGATCCCTACATGGATCAGGAAGGAATCTTTCTCCTTCCTCAGTTGACAAGGTGCACTATGAGGAGTTCAGTTTCCTTTGAAGCACCAGGCAATTGGCTGCTGAAGTAAGGGTCTGCGCTAATACAGCATGTTGCTATGTCTTTATGAATAGGAGAATGCTAAGATTTTCCCTCTTGGACAGCAGAGAAAAGAAGTTACAGTCCAAGCAGAATTCCTCAACCTCACTTAACATATTGGACACTTTCTCTAACCATTGCCCATATGACTTCTTGCCCATACATTTTAAATGTTTCCTACAACAGATGAATATACTGTCTTGTCTAAGAATTATAACTTGTTTTTCCTACCTTTCTCTTCCTCCTCTTACTATGAGAGAAAATCCATTCCTTACTCTAATCTGTTTTGGCCAACCTATCAAGGAAAAAAAATCTTTGTCACCCTTACTACAGTTTATATATTATACACACTGCTCTATATACAGTGGAATCCTGTTACCATATAAGGGTCGATTTGGGCAACCCCCTATTTTAATTGTTATACTGTAGTTAAATGAATGATCACTTACAGCCAGCTATAAATAAAGTAGTGAGTTACCTAAAGCAGACGTGTGCATAAAAGCAAAATCCCCATTTTGTAAGGGCAGAGTGAGTTTAAATTAAATTTTAATACCAAGGTAGGTTGGCCAGATTATAATTGGCTCTGGCTGGCACTCTCATAACATTCTTTACCTGTAACCCAGAACATGCTCTGTGCTGCATGTTAGACTTAAATTAGCCTGCAGGAACCCCAGAATTATGTAGCATCCCCTTTCCCTGGCCCTCTTCTCCTTACCCCTCTCCTTTCCTGTTCAGTTTTATCAATGCCGTGTTCTTTGCATGATTTATATATTTTGATATTATTCAATTATATTATTCATCTCCAAATTTTAAATTTTCAATGGGCAGCAGATTTTTGTATTAAAAAAGGTACTGAGCTCATCAACTTTTGACATCTATCAGCTGCCTTGCTGTATCCCACCCCTATACCTGCCACTAGTCATTTAGCAATGGCAAATTGGAACACTCTTTTCTTTGCAAAACAAAATGTTAAGGATTGTTTAGCAATGAAAAGAACTGTTTAAATGGAAGTTTAGACTTTAAAGCACAATTCTTGTCAGATATACATGAGGCCCTGTCTGTAGCCTACCTGCCCTCAGAAAGATGGGCAAACATTTTATGTTTGAAAACACAGTAATTGCTTCTAATGTGAAAAGGGTAAACAAGAAACAAATAAATAATCGCAAGAAGGCTTTGGACCTTGGAGGAGAAAAATGTAAGGTACAGCCCCACTCCTTTCCCATCAGTCTTTACTTCTTTGCAACTGGGATTCTGGGACTTTGTGTCTCCATTTTGATTTACTTTATTTTTTCTGTATTTGCTTTTCTTTGGTTTGACAGGTATGAAGAAGTAAAAAGACTAGTAGAAAAAAGGGCAAGGAGAGGGAGACCCCAAGTCGAGGATACAATACTGGTGTCTTGTTTTGTGTGTACAGTGTTTAGCACAGGGGTTCTCAAACTGGGGGTTGGGACCCCTCAGAGGGTTGTGAGGTTATTACATGGGCGGGGTCATGAGCTGTCAGCATCCACCCCAAACTCCGCTTTGCCTCCAGCATTTATAATGGTGTTAAATATATAAAAATGTGTTGTTAATTTATGGGGGGGGGGGTTCCACACTCACAGGCTTTCTGTGTGAAAAGGGTTACCAGTACAAAAAATTGAGAACCCCTGGTAGCCCAATTGAGTCCTGATCCCACAATGGGGCCTGGAGGCACTGCTGACATACATAATGGCCAATACAGCCAGAAGTCCAATCATGATTATGGAACCCAGGCCATGTTTTTAATACACCTAGTGTGACAACGTGATGAAGCACAATCTACACATTCTTAAGTATACAGACTGGACTGGAGCTACATCATCCTACATCCCTCTGTGACTACTTCACTTGAGCTCTGTTTCTGCTCTACTGCAAGAGACGCTGTAGCACAAGCACCTTATTGTGCTGCATCAAGAGGGCATTGTGCCATTCCTCCCATCATTCCTGCACTCTTTGGCTATGCTGGGTTCACCTCACTGTACAGGATTCTTCCTATCAAGCGGATGTTTCCATGTCCTAGAGTCATTTACAAGCTGGGTGAAATAATTGAAAGCAACCAGGGTTCATGTGATGGTGGTGGGTGGACACCAGGGATTGAATCAGGTCCAGAGCTAAAATCATGAGTCTCTGAAGCTTGAGTTAAAGAGTCAGGCACTCCAAGAGATTTAACAGACTCAGATCCTCTGCGGGCTGGGTACAGTGAGGAATCAGGTAACAAACACTGACAAGTGGGTTACATTCATGTTGAGGAAGGCCCACTAATAGGAGAAGATAAGTATGAATGTTGTCCTGAGCTGAGGGTTAAGAGGTGATCTGGGAAAAGGGGGTGAGTCACTGGAAACATAGAATGACTGAAGACCTAATAAACTCACTCATGCCCAGTAGCCTTCGGAGAGGACAATTAGGCTTGGATGATTAAAATACAGCACTACATTATGATTTCACTGGAGGTGTCATTCCTTAACCTGTCCAAACTGGAATATGAGAGCCAGTGGAGGAAAACAGCAAAGCCATTAGCCATCCTCTGGTAACCAGAGAGCCTTCCCATTATCTTCAGCAACAGTTTGGGCCCTTTTCCTTACTAGAAGTAGAGAGACCAGTGGTGGCCCTGCCTACAGTAGAGAGTTTAAAAGCTCAGAGTCAAGGCAGCTGGCTTCTAGATGCAATGAAGTTGACAATTCTCACTTAATAATATATGATGAGATCAAGAAGCCAGTGGATTTTTTTTTTACTATAAAGTAAAATCCTGTAACTGAAGTGACACTCTCCAACGTGTCCTCTCAAAGGAATCTTAGTATGTCCTGGCTCCCTCTGTCTGTACTACCCCTGACATCCCAGCACAGCTGTGGCACTGTGAGAGATACTTGTCCCTAGCAGCCCCTGACCCAGGTAAGTTGTTTGAAGCAACTGTTCCTTCTCTCCACCCCTTTTTATCTCTTGAGTTGTTACTGTTCCCTTCACACTGCTCAGTCTCAATGGGGAAAGACAAGGGGGCCGAACTGGTCCCCACCATTAGTAAAAGACATTGATGGGGGAGCTGGGGACTAGCCTGTCCCCTTCCCAATTCCCAACTAGCTGTAGTGAGGGACTAGTCCTTTTTCCTCTTCTGTCTTCAGAATCCAGGTTGTCTCCCCACTGCTACTGCCATGAGAGTATCAGTAGGAGGTAGAGCTTTTTCCTACTTAGCTATTTATGGTCATAGACATAGAATGTAAATTGTGCCAAATAACTCTATCATACTCAAAACCTTGTCATTCAAGTATCTCGTAAGAATTTATTTATAAAGATACTAGATTTAGTAATCCTATAATTATTTTATTAAATATTTGAGCCCCTGGCTTTGGTCAATAAAGTCTTGTCCTGCTGTGATGATTTGGACAGCTGATTGGCCTCAGGTTTTAAGATGTGATAGCCATGCACTCTGTCACCACAATCAGGGTGA